GTAAATCACCACCAAACTTGCGCTTTCCTTCTTCAACCTTCCCGTGTCCAACATCCCTCCCCGCTTCTACAGAGCTCAGCGCACCAAGCGGAGATATAATTGAAGTAAAGCTACGCTAATTTTACCCTGAGGGAAAAAAAAAAAAAAGAAAAAAGTTGCAGTTTGATACTGTATTTTTAAGAATGAATCCGATTTTTAATGGCAGCAATCCAACACAATAGGCATTTTCAAGGCCTTTGTGGAAATGCTAATTTTCAGTATGTAGCATTATTCCCCTGTGACCACCTGCTGATTTTTTGACCTGTTAATGGATCCCCAGGTTCGCGGGACACTTTAACCCGCTGCATTGTTCACAGAGGTAGGTCCCAAATCCCTTGGCGAAAAAAAAGGGAATACTTGCAAAAAAAGGAGATAAGGGTTTGATTTTATTATTACTATAATGTGTATATCCTCGCTAATGCCCCAGACAAATCCCTGCGAAATTTCGACTTTGTTATGCAGCTTCCTCACTTATTATTTACGGGCACACCTGGAGCGGGGGATATCGAATATCGAGCCAGTTTGGGGTACTGGCGGGCGGTGCGAGGCGCAGCCCCGGGGTGGATTTCGGGGCTGAGATCCCGCAGGACCGGGCTCGGTGCGGGACCTGCCCCGACCCCCAAAGCCGCAGCACCATCCCCCAGGCGGGGCCACAGCTTCCCCAGCTCCCCCGGAGGGATCCCATCCAGGGTTTGGTTGTTAAAACTGAGAACGGGAGGGGGAGAGAGGAGAAAAAAAAAAAACAAACCAAAAAAGCCCGAAGAACAATAAGAAAAAAGCAGCTGGCCATTGCCCCGGAGAGCGCGGTGTGGAGCCATCCTCCCTCCCCGGTCCCGCACGCCTCCCCCGCCCCAGCACTGATTAACCCTTTTGTTTCAGCGCGGGGCCGGAGGTGCCTTTCCAGCAGCGGGCAGAGATTTACATGTGGAAACATCACCTCCATCCCCCAACCTAACCATATGCACAAAGGAAAACAGTCATGCATTAAACATGGGATTTATTGCCTTCTGGCCAGCATGCTGTTTCTTAAGTCACCATTAACCGGACCCAACAATTGCACATTTCGACTCAAAGAAGAGAAGGGGGAGGAGGGAAAAAAGAAAAAAAATTAAAGAGCCCGAACCTCCTGCGGGCTGGGAATAAGCAGCTCCCGTAACGTGCACGGCTTTTTATCAGTTCTGGGCACGGCAACAAAACCAGTCCCAAACGCCAGCAAAGAACCCAAAGAAAGTTCTCGGGGGGCACACGGAAACATTTGGGCACAACAACCACAACAACTTCGAACAAACAAACGCTCCCGAGCCGGGCCGGGCCGTGCCCGCCGCACTCCGGGAGCAGCACGGGCACCTCGGAGCGTCCCGAGCTGCGGGCAGCGAGAGCGGGGGGAGACGGCACGGGGCAGGGAGCACCGGCCCGGGGAGAGCCTGCTCCGGGAGCCCGGCCCGGGGAGAGCCTGCTCCGGGAGCCCCGGCCCGGGGAGAGCCTGCTCCGGGAGCCCCGGCCCGGAGCCCCGGACCCACAGCCCGGTTCGGGGAGAGGCTGCTCCGGGAGCCCCGGACCCACAGCCCGGTTCGGGGAGAGGCTGCTCCCGCAGCCCCGGCCCCGCTCCCGTGGTGGCCACCGGCGAGTGCCCCTCCGCCCTTCCGCTGCACGCCCACCCCACCGGGAGCTCCCGGCTGATTTTAGGCACGATTTCAGCTTTCCCCGCAGCACGGCTCGGGAATGCGAGCGCTCCCGAAACGGGGAGAGCGATTGGCGGTGTCCCCCACGCCGCCCCAATACAAAGCGCCCGCGCACACCCCACAATGAGCTCACCGGTGTTATTTTGGGAAGTCGGAAATCAAAGATGGCTGGAGGTCAAGCTACAAAAGGTCCAGGGCGATTGTGATCTCCAACAAAAATAGTCCGAGCGTGGAGGCTTTTCTCCCCCCCACCTCCCTTTTTCTTTTTCCCTTTTAAACCCCACAAAAATTCCCATCTAACTCCCGACAAAGTGCTAAGAGTGCTAAGTACAGCGAGGGAAGCCAGCCCGAGCCATTTCCTACCCCTCGGAAGTTGTGTGTAATTTCTCGCTGTGCTCCCCCAGCCCTGTACCCCCGTGCCCCCCGTTCCCTCGGCCTCGGGGAGCTTTTGGGGCTCCGCTCCCACGCGGGGGCCGGCGGAGGCTCCGCGCCGTGCGGGGCATTGCGGGGCCGCCAGCGCTGCGCTCCGCAGCCTCACCAAACCGAACCCCCCCA